TTACCTTAGACCTTATAAATACAAAGGAACGCGCCGAAGCAAAGCGAATGTGAGTCGCTATTTTGAAATAGATGAAGTATTTACCATATAAAAGATCATTCGTTTTATTAAGATGGTTGATAAAAATAAGTCTTTAAATTGCAGGTTTATTTACTTATATCTAGGTATATTTTTAACTAGCAAATTCTTAGGTTTTACATATTAGTATACTCTTACAATGCAGTTTTTGTATATTTTCTCAGAAATGCGATATTTTACCGCGGTAAAAAATATCCTGTACGTTGACCCGGATAACCAGCTGTCACTATAGCAAATTTCATCAAAATCCCTCCAGTGGTTTTTCTATGATGCGGTAACAGACAGACAGACAAAAATTCTGAAAACTATAGATTCGGCCTCTGTATCGATAATAATGTCTATTTCAATAAGATTTTCCAAAAAATATTTAATGGACAGATTCGGCTTAGTTACAATTTTATTATATGTATATATTTATTGATTGTGTAAGTTTATTGTGTAACCGTCTTTAAAAAAAATTAAAACTGGTTCACAATTGACATAGATAACTAAACGTAACGTAACGCGTAACTTAAAAAAAAACTACAACCAAATGAGTTTCTCTTAGTTTTTGAAGTTGGATATACACAGGAAGAAGTAAAACTGGGTGATGTATAAACAAACTTTTAATATTAGTGTGTAATTTGAAAACACAAAAATACATTATATGAGCAATAAGATATTGCTAATTTTAAAATATTTTGTATTTACACATAACATAAAAAAGATTTTAATTACTAACGCTTTCTATTAATAATTATATACACATGAAGAAAGTTAAAATCTTTCAAGAGTACTTTTTTTTAAAAATCATTCACTTTTAAGTTCAAACTGCACATTTTCTCTTCAAAAGATTGCGATAAATCTACTACTTTAAAATATTTATTCAAGTAAATGCATCTAAAGGAGGCCGCAGAACCATTTTTAACTTAGTTTTTCCAGTCGAGATATTCAAATGCCTTATTTGTTCTAAACTTTCAACGTTAAGTATGGAAGGCTAAAGTTGTATGGACAGCTCAAAGTTGTATCGAGACCCATTTATAAAGTTCTCTCGAGCATTTATGCAATTGTAACGTTGTTTGCTTTTAAAGATATCTTAGAAACAATAATTCATATACATTTTTATGATTATTGCAGATTGCTATTTTTATCGTGTTTATTATAGAACTAATATACAAATAGCTTTACGCCACATCTTTTTAGAGTCGAGATAAGAAACTTTGGGTCCCAGAGGTGAAAGCTTTGCATTAAATTCAAGATCTTTTGCTCAAATGATACACAATAATATGGGTGTTTCTTGAAAATTTCTTAAAAATATACTTAAATGCTTATTAAATAAATGCAAACGAGAGTGTTAGAGTTTATTTGTTCTTCGCTTGATACTTTTCACTGTGTGCGATCTTCACAGTAAAAAAAACTTTGTATCATACGATGTATTTATCAATACATATATTAATTACTTGTATTTTATGCCTTTAAACTGCCTCGGTGATGTCGTGACTAGCATGTACGGCTGCACATCCGGAGGTCCTGGGTGCGAGTCCCGGGTCGGGCCAAGTTTAGTTATTGAGTTTTTCTTTATAGTAAGCTTCAGTAACAGCCCGGAGTTGTGAAGTTGGCGGTGTTTCACCCCCGTGCCTCGGAGAGCACGTAAAGCCGTTGGTCCTGCGTCTTAACTCACACCAGTCGTGTCTCGTGTCATCCGACCGGAGTATGAGAGTGACAGGAATAGAGAGTGCACGTTGTGTCTGTGCAGTTGGTTAGTCTCAATGAGATTGTCCGTCGTGGTCGGAGTCGGCCATGAGCATATTATTATTACTATCCGATATTGATGAAGCTTTAATAAATTGTTATAATCATGATTTTCTGACATGGAAGTGACTAATATGAAAATATTTAAAAAAATATGTAGCTATGTATGATGTATATCTGTTTATATGTGAAAGGAACCAGAGTGAGCTTTAGTATCTACATAAGTTATTTCTACATTTAAATAAATAAGTACATTCAAATACAATAGTAGGGGTTTTTTTCGTTACTGTCATATCATGACGGAAGAGTCGTGCAACGCAAACGTGTTTCTACATGTCGTGGAATTTTGCGAAGTAAATAAAGCCTTTATCAATTATTCATCAGGAAGATGTGGTTTTGTAAATAGTAGAGTACCTTGCAACTCGGTTTACTGTAAGCTTGGGAAGTTTGAGTAAGCTTTTTACTTCTGTTTCTGAGCTTTTTGTTTTATATTTAGCTAAAATCTACATTAATAGATTTAAGCTAAATATAATATAAATTCCAACAAAATCCATCCAGTACAGGGACAAACATACACAATTGTAAACTTTTACATTTATAATAGTAGTGCGATATCAAAGTTAGTTAGTTTTACCACTTTCTTTTCTGTCCGTTTGATTGTGTCCATAATTTCTAAAATTGATCTACGAAAGGATCTATTTCAAGTAAAGTCTTATTAACAAGACATTATTTTTTATCCTTTTATTGATAATTTTTATACTTTTATCTATATAATGTATAAATTTAAAATGTATGTTACTTTATTAATTTAAACGCGCTAATCTCCGAAACTAAGAGTCCGATTTGAAAAATGTTTTTGATTTTACACCTTAATAATAATTGAGTAAGATTATTTAACGACTCTAATAAGACCCTACGTCGCTTATGAACAGAATTTATTATATTATACAAGCGGAGTCACAGGCAATTGTTTGTTTTTTTATAACATGTAATAAGATTGTATGAGTTTTTTGCCACGAGATGTATTTAAATATTATGTCAGTAGATTTAAATATAAATTGGTCAAGTGCGAGTTGAATTCGCACAGGAAGGGTTCCGTACCACCGTATAAGTGCTTTTTAATAATATGACTTTTACACTATGTATTTAGTATATTATTTACTTCGATGATCGATTACGAATGTTAAAAAAATGTTTCTTGTATTCTTATTTATTTTTATTATTTGTTGTTATAGCGGTAATAGAAATACATAATTTGTGAAAATTTACTAATTTATTTAATATTACGATTCATGAGTTACAGCCCTTGACTAACAGATGGATAGCGGAAGCATATTAATAGGGTTTTGTTGGCACGAAACCCTTAAATTATATGAAAATGAAATGATTTTTTACTGTTTACTAATTTTAATTTTGTTGACACTACTTTTAATAACTAAGCTCCAAAAGAAGCTTTTTTCTTGTTAAGTTTACTTGTTATGTAAACAATGCAAGTAACTTGAGTGTGATAAAAAACGACGTAAGTTTGTGTTAATTTTAGTTCTAATTACTATGAACGAAGGGTGAGCGTAAGTTCGCCAAGCTTTTTAAGCTTAACTTTCAAAGTTATTTTGCTTTTTAAAATACAGAGGTTACGTTTACTTACTGAAAATTAAATTCTACCAGTACTCGTAAAAGAACTTTCATAATTACATGAAGACTAAGAAAAACTAAGAAAATATTTTTTTTAAAGTTTGTTTTTTCAATCTAGGTTATAAATACACAAATAATTTTGTACCCATTTATATATTAAATAAGTTTTACACAAGATAAATGAACTAGAAATTTATATTTTTTTATACATCCATATATTTAATATTATAAATGTGAAAGTGTGTTTGTTTGTTTGTTCTTCTTTCACTTCAAAACAGAGATAGAGATCAGGATGTTTGTGCGGAGATAGTTGGAGAGGGCTGGAGAGTGACATAAACTACTATTTACCGCGGGAGATGATTTCATTATCACGGGAAAACACGTTATAATACAACCCAAAAAAAAAATATTTATCAGAATTACTTGAAACTTGGTATTAATATTCTTCAATACAATTGAATAAATACATGTTTTAGCATTTTTCAAAATTCATCCCATAAGAGGGTAAAATAGGGGATGAAAGTTTGTATGCAACATACCTTTTTAGAGTTTTTTTTGTGTAATTTAGCGACAGCGAAGTAGCGGGTTCTGTTAATATTGAATATAAAATTTTATGTTCTTAAAAATTAAAGAAGTTCAAAGAGTAAAGATTTTCTTTAATATAGTTGACGTACTCATCAGAATCATCTTATTTGGCTTTTCTCTTTGGAGCTGATACCTCTCTATCTAATCTATTGATTCCAAAATCCGTTAGTCTATTTTAATCTGTTCTAACATTTACCGATTAATATTGCTATTATCACAATATTATCATAAATTCTAAAATAACTGTTCAAACAATGTCTGAGTCATTTTGATTTTAACTTAGTTTAACTTAGGAGAAAATAGGCTATACTTAAACGAAAATAATGATCAGGTTAATGGATATATAAGGTAAGAAAATTATATGAAGAAATTTTGTTATATATATATATATATATATATATATATATATATATATATATATATATAAATGTCTATAAAATTATTATGAAATATTAAAAAAAATGAGAAGAGTGAGACAAAAAAGTCCACTCGGGTCGGGTCGTGTGCTTTCATTAGTACTTAATACCAGCAGAAGACACTTTTTGTCTATCATAACTTTTATAGGTCTCACTACCATTTGTTCCATCAGGACAACGAGAGTCGAACCCGTATACCGGCATAGTAGATATTACAATACACTCTCTACCTCATATTAGACATACCATTGCCCTATATAAAATATTATATAAATTAAAATAATAACAATGCATTGCAAATGCACAATTGACATGCTTTCACTTAATTTAGTATGTGAGTCAATTGATGCCATACACATAGAAGAAAAGGCGCGAAGTTATACGCATGCGTCAAAATAAATAGGAGAAATATAACCGGTCACGCGGATTCAGTCCTTCCAAAACCACCGTGTAAGGTGGACGTGTTCTAACCCTGAAAAAAAAATATCGCGAGTGCATATAAAAAAATTACGTAATGATTGTTAGTACTTGAGTAGGGTGCAATGAGCGACGTGCGTTATGCCACCGATTTATTTGATCGTGCTTCTGACAGTGCTGGACTTGTGCGTGCCTCTGTACCACGACCAGTTCGCGCTATTTGTGCCCGATGGTCGGGCAGATGAACTGGCTCAAAGACATGGGTTCGTTAACCATGGACAGGTAAGTTTTAAATGGGGACCATAAGGAAAAAGTCAAATTAGAAAATTAAAAAATTTCTACTAAGTCATACGTAATCTTCACATACAAACTTGTATTGTGCGAAAAATCTATAATATTTAATTTCAACTTGATAATTTTATTAAATACATAATATATTATATAATAAAAAATAATTCATCGGTATATAATATTAGCACACTATATATATGTATATATATTATTGATTGGAAGGCACGTTAGTTCAGCAGTTTTGGATATTCAATTTCTAAAAGCTTAAAAATAGATAGATAAAGCAGTAAAAGAAACCAATATTCTAACTTTGGGCTAAATCACAAAAACCTATAGTGTAACACGTCAAAATATAATCGCATATTTCACATAAATAGTTTAGTTTTCAAATAGACTAAAAGGTAGCATCGACGCAATTCCCTTCTCAGAGAAGTGTTGTAAACTTCTTTCTCGTTTCATTAACGGAGTTTGTGCTGCAGCATTTAACTGGCTGGCAATTTAACTTGGAGTGTCAGTAAGTCTTCTTACAATTGCTAACAATTACTAATAATATAATTTAAAAAAAAAAAGATTTTTTTGTCCTTGTTCTCTACATAAATCAATTATAGCGAAATTATCCGCCTACAAAGCCTTTGGTGTAGAGAAGTATAAAAGTTGGTTTCATTCCGTCTATATTAATTTTTTTTAATAAAAGTTAGTTCAGAGAGCACAAGAAAAAAATTAAAATGATTATTTCATGTATGTATATATTTGAAATTGTTTCAATGACTGACATATAAGAATACATAGCTAAAATTCGCTGGATCTTGAAGCATGGAATTATATATAAAATATTATATGCAAAAGTACCTTATATAATGAAAATTGGCACTAGAAGTCATTTTTGAAAATTTCCTCCTCTAAAGGAGGTAAATGGGAAATGAGAATTTATATGAAACATCGTCATTTATATTATATACAAATAAGATATATAGAAAGTTATGTGTTAGCTTGACTTTATCATGGCGATGGAAAATCCCATGACTGCTTGTTAATAAATAAACTCATTCATTTAACAGAATTAAACTTGATTGGCATAACGTGGTTGTACAAATATTTATCCAAGTCTGAAAAGACCCCATGACTAGACACTAAGGAAATAATATAGAGTTATGTGTCACTCATTTCTGTCAAATGAAGCTCTCATTAATAAAGAAAAATAAATAATACAGCAATAATTAAAAACAAATCAACGTAAAAAATAACTGAAATTAATCACAGTTGAACATCGATTTTTGTACCTTTCTTCAAAATAGTACCATAATAATATTATAATATATACGTATTTGAATTTGGTAATTTAGGTACTAGTTAAGGCGAAAATAATTTCATATGTTAAAATCCATCTAGCATAGCGTATAGTGTGCATACGAAAAGCATTCATTTTGTGGACAAACTGATAAAATTAAATATTTTACAAAAACGCAAAATCTCATTTGTTTAGTTTTTAATCATAAATAGTGTATTTTTTGAACACTGATTTCTTCTGATTCTACCATTCTATAATATTAAATATGTATGTCAGATAAAAATGGTTATATAAAAAAAAATATTAAACGAAATATTAAAACAATTTTACATAACAATTTTAGTTGTTTTTAAATATACTCGTATGGTAATAATAGTCTACTCAGTACTGAGTTACAATGGGCTTAGAAAATATCACATTCTACTGCGTACTTTAATAGAAATCTGAATATTGTATTTAAATAACATATTTAAAATTTATGGCAATTAATCAAAATTAATGTTCGTCCAGTGGTCAAAATTCGACCATAATCATTATTGAAAATTTGAGGAAAACATACCTATATGAATAGAATTTACCTATCTATAAATAAATAAATATGTTGGGATGTTAACACACAATACCATATAGTTCCATGGTAAGCTACGAGGCTTGTGTTAGGGATACCAGATAGTTGATACACTACACATATATAACTTTAAATACATACATACATATTATAAATATACATAAATATCTATCCTACATATATGTAAAAAGTAATTGTTTTATTAATAGCACTCACCAATAGCTACTAACAAAATTACATAAGAATATCGATTGACAAACTGAGGAGAAAATGGTAATAACCGTTTTGTCCTTCCCTATTTATATCATTTCCATATTTTTACGATTTCTATTCTTCAACGATTGCAGAATGTGATCTTGTTTGAGTGACTGAACATCCTTATCTATACAGATAAATAAAATTGAAGTGTCTGTAATGTCAAAATAACAGCTTTTTACTAAATGCATATGAAATTATATACGGTATTATAAGAAAAACACATTTTTGTTAATTTTTGTCTGTCTGTCTATCTGTTTGTTCCGAATAATTTTTGAAACGGCTAGACTGATTTTGACAGGACTTTCACTGGAAGATAGCTGATGTTATAGGGAGTAACATAGACTACTTTTATTTTAGAAAAGAATTAGGGTTCCGCTCAAAAAAATTAAAACGTACCTAGGGACGAACCCGAGCGAAGCGAGGATGAGTCGCTAGTTAATATTATATATATGAAAGTTTGTGAGTATGGATCTTTGTTACTCTTTCACGCCAGAACGGCTGAACGGATTTTAACGAAATTTGACGAAGATATAGATTATAGTCTGGAATAATAAATAAGCTTTTTATCCCGGAAAAATGTACGGTTACCGTGGGATTTAAAAAAAACATTTTTTTCAAAATTTCTCGCGGTTTTTGTTTGATTTTTCAGTACATTTTGCTTTACTTTATAGCAAACAAGGTAAATTTTATGATTACTTAAATAATAACATGCTTGTGGTTCGAACCTTGTACATTGACTCTTTTATCTATATATTTTTGGTAAATGCTAAAATATAGTAACTTACTAACTTGTGTAGAGAAGCGATTATAATAAATTTTCATTTAATTTGTTCAGATAAAGTAATATTTTCATATTAGACATTAATTTAAAATTTTAGCTCTATACTTAGCTAAGTGCCACGATTTCATGAATAAAAAATTCAGTATTATTTTAGATGTAAAGATAAAAAGGAAAGTGGTTTAACGTAATATATTGTGTGCCATTAATTTATATAAACATAATATTTATTTTATATACATGTCTAAATGCAAGCAACAAATTTTTATTGGAAATCTTATTCTTAATAAATTATTATTGAATTATGAATTTCTAATGAAAATATTTTAATAGTAGCGGCTTAGCTTCCTTTAATTTGAGTGCATAGGCAGAGCCGCGGGCAATGCTAGTTATTTATTATTATTTATTATAATCATAACTCGCTGAATTCCACACATCCAAGTTCGAATAAGGACCATGTACGAGATTTCGGCAGTATTTAGAGGAGTAAAATAAAAAACGTGTTCTTGATGTACTTACAAAAGATTTAATAATTTATTACAAAAAAAATACCCAAGACGTGGGGTAGACACACTACGAATTTTTATACAATACGCAATTTTGCCTTAATAATTATTCAGGCGCTTTGCACGAACAGTGCTAGTGTAATATATATATATATATATATATATATATATATATATATATATATATATATATATGTTATGTATACTGTATCAACTATCTGGTATCCATAACACAGACCTCGTAGCTTACCATGGAACTAGATGGTCGTGTGTGTTAATGTACCAACATATTTATATATAATTTTCACAATGAAACATCTCTGTTAGACGACATTTTACGGTCAAGGTTTGCCTTTCTTTATACTAAGCAAATGTTAGTCTTTGTATAACATATTCAGCTACATAGATTTTAATGAAACTCTCTAATTTTTCATTTTTATATTACCTTTGAAAATGAAAAAACTCATCACAGAATATAACAAAAGGTACGAGTTGTAATGTAAAAGGGAAAATATTCTTAAAGCCAAGATTACTGTTAAGAATGAAATTATTACCTTTTGAACAGATTTGACTCATATGAAGATTTTTTTTATTTGCAGGTTATTTTGAACATATGAGAGAGAGAGAGAAAGAAAGAGAATTTAATGAGATGATAGGTTGTATATAATATAGTCTTTATATGTAATGAAACTTGTGGAAAATTATAAAAAGGTTAAATAAATAAATATGTCGGGACTTTAACACACAAGACCATCTGGTTCCATGCTAAGCTACGAGGCTGGTGTTATGGATACCAGATAGTTGATACACTACATATATAATTTTAAATATGTACTTATTATAAATATAAACATCCATGACTGAAGTACGAACATTCGTGTTCACCACACAAATGAATGAACCCAGCGGGACTCAAACTCGTGACCGCTGGGACAGCAAGTAGGGTCAGTACAAACTGAGCCAAACGTATCGACAAAGTAACGATTTATACATCGAAAATAGTGACCGCCCGATTTTTAATTTGGACTTCCAGGTTAATATGTACTCCTTTCTCTATTCACTTTTGCGCTGTCCAGGAATCGAACCTTCACAACCTTCTGTGACTGTTTCAAATTAGTTAATTAAACATTCTGTAAATAAACATTATTAAATTCGTGTAGTCGCTTATAAACCACTTTTTCCTTGTAAAAAGCTTTATAAGTATTTTAAGGAAAGCGTCTACCATCTTACAATATATTAATAATTGCAAAAGTTCAAAGAAATTGCTACTATTAATTATAGAATTTAATTTGACCACATTTGTAAGATTTGAACTTTACAATATATACTAATATTGTAAATGCTAAAGTTTTTGTTATTTTGTATTTCTTTAACGCAGAAAGGTAGATTTTTTTGCATAGAGATACTTTAAAGACAGGAGACAATCATGGGCTTTTCATCTTTGTACATCAAGTGTTCTTAAAATGTTTCATATCTTTGCTTATGAAAATCACAAATAATAAATAACTTTTACAAAGCCATTTATTGCAAAAAACGTCCATCCCACTTCATAATACTCGTAATTGTACTCTATATAGGATGTTTCTTATTACT